GGAATTTACAGCTGGCACCAGAAACCCCCCAGCAAACCCTGCCCTGAGCTGCAACCTGATCCCTCAGACATGCAGAGCAGCTGCAGGAGGGCCCAGGACCCAGCACCAGCTGCACCTGCTCCCTCCCCACGGGACCATTAACCCAGTCGCAGGTTCCCAAATGCTAAATGAATAATAAATTACACTTAACCAATAGAAAAATGTGACAAAACTGGGGACCACAGCAGAACCCACTCACCACGAGACCCTAACTCCCTCACAACACTAAACAGGCTGGGATTTTGCAAGAGGCTCCCAGGGTGTTGGCCGTGGATCCTGGGGTCTCCCGCCCCCGCGCAGCTGAGGTTGGTGTTCCCAGGAGCTGGGTTTTCTGACACTCACCTGTGCTCACTTTCTCATCACAGTTTGGGACATGGTTGTTCTCAATCTTCAGCTCCTCCACATGTGGGCTGGTGACACCTGGAATGTCCGGGAGGTCGGAGGGAGGGGTTTTGGCAACCGGAGAGTTGCGGCATTCCATGAGAAACTTGCGGTCGTAAATGATCCTGGTTCCTGGGGGGGACAAGGACACTGGGTTAGTGTTTTGGTGCTGGGTGACCTTCAGAGCTGGGTAACAAACCAGGAGGCATATCTGACACACTCCTGTTGTTTAGCACTGACTCATTTGGTGCTACCTCACAAGACACCACTTATCGCTGTATTTGCCTACAAAAGGTCCATCCAGTCCCCAGCAGAGCTGCAGCCACCAGCCTGCTGCACAGAGACCCCAGCCCCAGGTGTGCAAGCACACCCAGCCCCTTCCACCTGACCCAGGGTCACAGGAGCACCCAGAGGAAACCGTAAATTGAATTTAATGCCTGCACATAAAGATAAACAAGCTTTTCCAAGCTGCCTGGGGCTGGGAGCTGATGCAGACACCTCAGGTAACAGGATGTGGCAGCACCTCCCTGTGCCCCTGAACCTCACTCAGCAAGATCTGCTGCAGAGGGACCTGCTGTGGCAGCAGGCACAGGCACACACCCTCCAGGAGGCTCAAACACAGGGCAGTGCTGGTGGCTGATGTAATGGTTAACCAGAGCACAGCCTGGCCCCTGCCCCACGTGGAACCACCAGCTCTCCAGGCATGGATTTCTAGGAATACCACTGGACTGAACAGCCTGCTGCTTAGAAAGGAATTGTGTTGGAATAAGCTCAAAAGCCACAGACAGCAAAGGGATCCCTCCAACTGGCTGCATACGTAACCCAGAAACACTGAGGAACAGTTTGTTCTTTACCCAAGAGGAGACAAACCTCCTCCTGGATCAAACCCTCTCTGCTCTGCTCCTGGGAAAGGAAACTTCTCCTTGTGCACTCCCTGAAAAGTGTTAAATAAAACTGCAGGCAGGGAACAGGCTCCTGTTGACATCTGTCCTGGAACATGAGATTCAGTTTGAAAGCATGGCTATAAACCTGTGGAGCTGGATATCATGCTTCATGTTTCTGCTAACGAGTTCCCAAAGCACTGGGAACCTTTTCACTACAGTATTTTGAATTTGAGCTGTTTCACTGGATCAGAGGGGAGATCTGACCCAATCCAGAGCTGTGCTCTGGCAGCTGGACTGCAGCAAGCAGGCAACTAGTCTGATAGTTAAAGTGTTAAATTCCTGAGAGCTTCAGAGGCAAGGATGTGCCTTCCTGGAAGTGCAGCTCCTGTACCAAGTACTGGGAGCACAGCTGGGGCAGGCAAGAGCTTCCAGGCCTGTTCCAGCTCCTCTGGCAGTCACATGCCTGGAGCAGGACTCAGCCCCAGGCCATAAATGGCTCCTTACAACCAGCTGAGCCCACAGCAGGTCTCCTCCTGTTTCAAGAAGGAAAGACTACACCCCGTGGGAGCTGCTCTGTGCCCCAATGCCCTGGTTCCACCACAGCTTCACCACCCCAGCCCCTCACTTAGCAGCTTGGAAAGTCCAGATGGGAATTTGCCTCAGTTTGTTCATTTTCCTCAGGATGAAGCAGCATCCAGTACCACACCTTGTTCCCCTCCTGCTTCCCAGTGGAGGCACCACGAGCTGCTCCAAGAGCCATCCCAAGCCCACTGGAAGAGCCAGTGACACCAGGGCAGGTCCCTGTGTCAGCACCAGCAGCTCTGTGTGCTCCTCAGCTCAGGGGAGCTGGCAGGGCTCCCCAAAACCTGCTGCTTCACCTGAAGACACGTGCCCTTGGTGAGCAGGCCAGGAGCCAGGACAGGCACAAAGGGAGTGCTGGGAACAGCCTGTGCTGAAGAGGTCACAGCAGCTCCACAGGCTCCTCCCAGCTCCTTGGCACTGTTTGCTTTTGCCCCTGCTGCAAGGCAAACAGGTACTGCCTGTGCTGGCAGGGAACAGGGCACTGCATCCTGCCACCCCTTCCTGAGGGGATCACAGAGCCCAGAGCCCTGTGAGAGCAGCTGGAAAAGGAAAATCCAGCCCTTCTCTCAGGCTGCTGGCACCAAACAAAGCCCAGAACACATGTGGTCAGCCCCATGGTGGGCAGAGCTTAGAGCACCCTAAGACCTGACTGTGCCCTCCTCCCACAGGCCCTTTTATCCAAACTCCATTCTAGGATTTCACTTCACTTCTGGAGACCCCAAAGTGACCTGCCAAAGACCCTCCCCTCAGCAGGGTGAGCTGTGAGAAATCCCAGGAGGAACCCCTCATGTCTGTGCCCACGAGCAGCAGAGCCAGAGCAGAGCAAAGGTGTCAACAAGAAGTCTGAGCCAGAAGTGCCTGCCCTGGGCTCCCAGCTCTGGCATTCAGCCCTTTTCCCATCACTCACATCCCCAGGGCTGCCCACAGCCAAGGGTGGGGGGGACACTTCAGGAATTACAGTCCCAATTCCTCTCCAAAATGAGTCAGAGGTTTTCCGTGACAAACGTGATTTGCTCCTTTCTCCTGATTCTTCAGCTTTCACCTGCTGTTCTGCAGGAAATCTCAGCCTTTCTTCAGGGGGCTACAAATGTGGAACACTTTGAACAAAAGGACCTAAAATAAGCACTCCTGAAACACACCATTATTTATCTCTGCAGCCCTCAGGGCTCACCATACAGAGGAGTAACTGTTTGCATGAGAACTCCTCCAGACTCCAGAGGAAAGGGAATTCTTTGCAATGGTGCCCACAAGCACAGGCCAACAGCCCAGGGTTAACACTCCCCTCTGAGTCCTGCAGGAATTTTAAGCCATTCCTCCCCCTTTATCACCCGGATCCAGCACCTGGAGGTGAGGAGCCAGGGCTGGCAGCTGGGCTGTGGCAGCACAGGCTGTCCCCAACCAGGCTGGGGACAGTGGGGAGCAGCACAGGGTCACAGCAGCACTGAGGGTGCTGCCAGGTGTGCACACCCCAACAACAAACATCCTTCGTGCTTCTCTACACCCATTAACTCCCTGGCAGACACAGGATCATCCTGGAAAGCTCATCAGGCTGCACAGTGCTCATTGTGCACCCCTGCTCTGCTGCTCAGGGCACACGGATATTGCTGAGAAAGTCACTCCCATTCTCCTGCTTTCCCAAGGCTTAATCACTGCAAGTGTTAATGAAGCACTTCAGTTCTTCGCCGCTTTCAGAGAAGAGGGAACATATGGCAAAAACAACACCAGAACTCCAGCTCCCCACCCAGGCTTTTCTGCACCAACACAAAAAAACAAGTGAGTCAGCAGAACCAGCTTCCCCCTTCCCGCTGAATTTTAACCCCTGAGACGTCGTGAAGAAGCCGGCAGGGCTGGGGGGACGAGCAGAACACCCTCCCCGCTCGGCTTGTTCTTTTGGCTGCACTTCAAGCCCAGTTTCATCATTC